ACATGTATTAGTGCTTCTTTTTTTAAAAGCGCATTACTTTTCACATAATTTACCTTTATTCTAAACCAATCTGTCCCTTCTCCGATGAACGCGCTGATGATTTCCTGTTTTTATGAAGCCCCTCCCTCAGATATACGCAGTGGGCTCAGATTGGTTAGCTGGCCCAGTGTGTGTCTCAATCAGCTCTCTAGCTCCCAAGCTCGTGAATCAATAGATCGTGTACACGAATCCAGGCACTGGTAAGTCTCCTAGCTCACTGCACGTTGGGATAGTGATCACTAGAATTCCAGCGACATGACTATGTACAATGACAACATAGTAGAGCATCACCGCTTGAAAAGTTTAAAAATGGCCAACTCCCTGATCAGTGCCCTGAATACTGAACAAGAGAGCCGACTGAGTGTGTTGTGATTCGCTAAACCACCTATTGCGCGTTCAGAAACGTCCCGCCCCTCACCTCAGAATGTGCTCCGGTTGTATTGTAAACAATTGCGTCATCAATATTGCTTGACAGTTTGAGCCCGATTGAGACCCAGAGAATATTAGTGAAGAGGATCACGCAGAAGCTGTGCAAGCCCGGCTCTTACAGGACGTTTCAGAATGGTATGTTCTTTGTTTGTTGTTGTCTCATACTTTTAGATACGATGTTATGTGTAAATGCTACTGCTTATGTTAGCCTCTACTATACGGTTTTATCTTGCTTAAAGCTTTAGCAGAATACATGGTTGCATTGTAGCATTTTTGTAAAGTAATTGTTTACTTTGTAACAGTAAGAAGTGTTTGCAAGCAAGTATTGCTCGCTACCACAGCAACCGTGTGCGCGTCCGTATTTAACACTTCTCGTAGCTATGTGAAAAATATCTGTCTGTCTAAAGTATATTATTGGAACACAGATCATTGATGGAGTTGACGAGCTAATGATTTGAATGAGATCGGGTTGGAGAGAGATGCAGAGTGTGTGCAGAGCATGGCGACACAAGGAACAGGATTGAGATCCGCTGCTTTAGAACATTGATTTTGAAACCTGTGAATCCATTAGACTCATTAGAAGACAGAATCGTGATTCATGTATGAATAGATTTTTATGTGCACCCCTAGTTTTGACGGCATGGCAACAACTCTTCCTCTTCTCTAAAGCAGCACAAGATGGCCCCGCCCCCTTTGTTGCATGTTCCTGGGGGCGTGGTTTATGTACATTTCAGGGTTTGTGATGTCACCAACCCGGGAAGTAGCTTGTTGTAGTCCCTACCAGCCATATTTGTAGGAATTAAACTGTCATCATTTTAAAAGACGATATCTCCGTTTGCATTGAACTTTCAGCGTCGTAACTTTTGTTTGCCAGCAAGTATTGCTCGCTACCACAGCAACCGTGTGCACGTCCGTATTTAACACTTCTCGTAGCTATGTGAAAAATATCTGTCTGTCTAAAGTATATTATTGGAACACAGATCATTGATGGAGTTGACGAGCTAATGATTTGAATGAGATCGGGTTGGAGAGAGATGCAGAGTGTGTGCAGAGCATGGCGACACAAGGAACAGGATTGAGATCCGCTGCTTTAGAACATTGATTTTGAAACCTGTGAATCCATTAGACTCATTAGAAGACAGAATCGTGATTCATGTATGAATAGATTTTTATGTGCACCCCTAGTTTTGACGGCATGGCAACAACTCTTCCTCTTCTCTAAAGCAGCACAAGATGGCCCCGCCCCCTTTGTTGCATGTTCCTGGGGGCGTGGTTTATGTACATTTCAGGGTTTGTGATGTCACCAACCCGGGAAGTAGCTTGTTGTAGTCCCTACCAGCCATATTTGTAGGAATTAAACTGTCATCATTTTAAAAGACGATATCTCCGTTTGCATTGAACTTTCAGCGTCGTAACTTTGCAGATATTGTTTATGCTCAAACAGCAACATTTACACACTAACTAAAGTTGAAATCACAATCAATCACCCCTTTATAGAAGTTAATACTGTTATTCAGCAAGGGGCATTCAATTGATCAAAAGTGATAATACAGACATTTAAAATGTTATAAAAGATTTATATTTCAAATAAATGCTGTTCTTTTGAACAAAACTATTAATCAGCATAACTGTTTTCAATGCTGGTGATAATCAGAAATGTTACTGAGCAGCAAATCAGCATATTAGAATGATTTCTGAAGGATCACGTGACACTGAAGACTGGAGTAATGATGCTGAAAATGCAGCTTTTCATCATAGGAATAAATTACATTTTAAAATATATTCAAATAGAAAACAATTATTTTAAATTGTAATAAAATGTCACAAATATTATATGATTTATAATATATTATGATTGTTGTGTTATTTATTATTATATTATTATATATTTTAAATTATATTATATAATGTTATATAATAATGTAATATATAATTTTTACTGTATTTTTATAAAATAATTGCAGACTTGGTGAGCAAAAGAGACTTCATTAAAAACATTAAAAACTATATATAAAACTATAAAATATTGTTTTATTATATACAAATACATAAACACATTATTAAAAATACTACATTTACTATAAAATAAATTATTAATTTATATTTATTACAAAAGTATAATTTTAAATTAATATTAAAAATACTAAATGTGTCACCATAATAAAGTATATATTAAATAATATTTTGTTTAATATCATCTTTATCAAGTACTATCAAGGCCACTATCCACAAAATCATCACCAACACCAATACCTGTATTAAATTATGATTATTTGTTTAAATTTCATAGGATAAAATGAGCAACGCGCAAAACTCAGCAATAAATTAAAAAGGCATCCATTTGTATTCTACATATTTAAAAATGGCACAGTTTTTAATATTTAAAAACTGTGACCCCTAACTTTGGAATGTTAGTGTGCATGAATATTAAAAACATTAGTTATTTTTATCAGTAAACTTTCTCTTTAAAGAAAATTTAAAAATACTGTGATCATAGCTTAATAAAAAAAGCATTTATATATTACATTAAGTTAATTAAACAACTTTTCAACTTTTGCTATTTGAAAATCTACAGCTAAAGAAAATGAAGCCAACTTTTTAGTTGCAATTTTGTGCTTCTGTGTTGATTAATGCAATCTACTTCAATTCCAATTGAATAAAATTCATTTAATCAGTAACATTAGCATTGCTTTGTTAGCACACAGTCCAATAATACATCAAACCGCTGCAGACCCCAACCATTTATGGATTTGATTTCAGCAGACGCCACTGTCAAACGCTGAACTTAAATTTAATTGTTTGGGAATATGGATATATGGATGGCTGTAATATAGAGATGAGGAGGAATATCAGTCCTGGACTCCATCAACAATGAGACGACAGAGCGGAGAAAATCTGCATAAACAACAAAGCACAGCCTCCAGCCATCAGAATCCAATCACAGACGCTCAGAGCAACAGGAAATGGATGTCTCTGGATTGTATCTTCTCGCTGTCTGTCTGCGTAATGGGATTAAAAGGCCAGATCTGAGCGCTGCCATGCAGTTCTGCTAGAATAAACACCAGAGCTGCAGGAGCTGCTGCTCTTGAGTTTGGACGAGCCACACGTTTTAATAGATTTTTTTAAAAGTTAAAATTAAAGTATTAATCTGCAGTTTTCATTTTCCCAGCATCCGTGAAAACCCACGCTTGCTAGAACAGCACATCTGCCCTTAATAGCTGGAAATCCTTTTCAGTCGCCTGAGTCATGGATGCTGGATTTTCCTCCACTCCGAGTGTTTGGGATCCTCGGAAAAAGGCCATGAAGAACATTTGTGGCAGATTTGGGTTTCTGAGCCAGAGTTATTATAGTTAACTAAAACCATTAAAAAAACATTTGTACGACTTAATTTTTTTATTTCAGTTAGTTGCTAAAGCAACATTTCTCATTTTGATCTAGTTTAAAGGAATAGTTCATACCAAAAATTAAAAATCGCTGAGAATTTTCTCACCATCAGGCCATCCTAAAAGGTAGATGAGTTTGTTTCTTCATCAGAAAAGATTTGAAGAAATGTAGCATTGCATCACTTGCTCAGCAATGGATCCTCTGCAGTGAATGGGTGCCGTCAGAATAAGAGTCCAAACAGCTGATAAAAACAACACAATAATCCACAAGTGATCCACACCACTCCAGTTCATCAGTTAACATCTTGTGAAGTGAAAAGCTACACGTTTGTAATAAACAAATCCATCAAGACGGTTTTAACCTTAAACTGTCACTTCCAGGTAAAATACCATGTTCCATAATATTGCTTTCTTCTATGAAATAGTCATCTTGTATGAATCAGGAGAGAAATATGCACATATCAAGCACCGTTTACAAGCCAAAACCATTCTTAACGAATATGTCAGTGGATTTTGATGTGAGAAGACAACAGGGGATGGACTTTTTCACTGGAGGAAGTGTTATTGTGGATTATATGGATTTATATTTAATCCAGACAGACTGTTTAAAGTTAAAACACATTAATAATGGATTTGTTTCTTACAAACATAAATCTTTTCACTTCACTAGATGTTAACTGATGAACTGGAGTGGTGTGGATTACTTGTGGATTATTGTGATGTTTTTATCAGCTGTTTGGACTTTCATTCTGACGGCACCCATTCACTGCAGAGGATCCATTGGTGAGCAACTGATGGAATGGATCACAATAATGGAACATTTCTCCAAATCTGTTGCGATGAAGAAACTAACACATCTACATCTTGGATGGCCTGAGAGTGAGTAAACTGTCAGCAAATTTTCATTTTGGGATGAACTGTTCCTTTAACTTGATGTATTAAAACAACTAAACATTTTAAAGATAATAATAATAATAATAATAATAATAGCTATATAGATATTTAGAAACAAACAAACAAAACCTAAACAAAAATAAGAACTAAAAAACTAAATATAAATAATTAATTCAAAATATGAATAAAAATGGCAATAACACAGGGTGTTACTCTTTTCTGATGCTCTAGAGGTGGCTTGTAAATATACTGGGGTGTTTTTCTCAGTTTTCTTAAAAAAAAATTGATGCGAATCAGCTGAGATCTCATTTGTGATTTTTATGTAGTGCGTTATTAGTGTGTTATTAGCCGGCTGGTGTTCATTCACAAGCAGTTTCTCCTGAGAGCTCTTAAAGTTCACTTCGTTTGTTGTGCATCTGTTCTGATGAGGGGACTAGAGCATCTTCAACATGATTCCTGTGACATTTAGTTAAAAAAACAGGCTACCTTTGTCTATTTCTGCCACTGAAAATCTTGGCAACAGGATCCTCACTGGCAAATGTCAGTTTGTGTTATTGTTTACTGGGACTCATCAGTGGGATTCATTTGCCAGTTCAGCCCCAGAGCAAACTGGAAACCTGGTCCAATTAAACACAAGCCTGGTCTGGGAGGCACTCAGGACTCCAGATCAATCTCAGTGATTTTCCTTTGGTTTCACCTCAACAGACAGTGGAGAGAGAAAATGTAATTGTTCAGTATACATGTGACCCAAAACAGTTTTTAATTATTACAATTTATGCTTTTTATATATATATATCATGTTTAATTGCTATATCGCTCATTTTAATCTAAGAAATAAAAAAAGAAAAAATGTAATAAAGGTGTTGGGGTTGGTGATGATTTTGGTAACAGTGCCTTGGATAGTATTTAATGATAAAGATGGCATTTGAAAAAATATTTAAGGTATACTTTATTATGGTGTATTATTGTATTATGTATAAAAATGTACATAATATAACATTTTTATGTATTTTGTATATATGTATTATTTTTTTATTTGTTATTAATAATTTAAAATAAGAATTGCATTATTCATTTATTATTAATATGCTTTTATTAGTATTTTATTAATGTTTTTATGTATTATATATTTGTATATAATAAGACGTGTAATATTTTGTGTTTTATAAATCATTTTCTATAGTCTCATCTGCTCACCAAGGCTGCAATTATTTGGTAAAAAATACGATAAAAACAGTAATATTGTGAAAAATTATTGCAATTTAAAATAACCATTTTCTATTTGAATATATTATAAAATGTAATTTATTCCTGTGATCAAAGCTGAATTTTCAGCATCATTACTCCAGTCTTCAGAGTCACATAATCCTTCAGAAATCAATCTAATATGCTGATTTGCTGCTCAAACTTTTTTTTGTTACTATAATATTTAATAAAGGTATCTTTGTGATATGCTTCCTTTATTTACATTAAAGGGTTAGTTCACCCAAAAATGAAAATTCTGTCATTAATTACTCACCCTCATGTCGTTCCAAACCCGTAAGACCTTCGTTCATCTTCGGAACACAAATTAAGATATTTTTGATGAAATCTGAGGGCTCTCTGACCCTCCATAGACAGCAAGGTAACTACCACGTTCAAGGTCCAGAAAAGTACCAAGATGATCGACAAAGTAATCCGTGTGACATCAGTGGTTCAACTGTAAAGTTATGAAGCTAAGAGAATAATTTTTTGCGCAAAGAAAACAAAAATAACGACTTTATTCCACATTATAAAGGTGCTGCCACACGCTCGCGTCATGGTACTGTCGTGAATGCACGTCCAAAGTGACGCAGTAGAGACGAAAATGTGGAATAAAGTCGTTTATTTAAAGTCGAAGGTCTTACGGGTTTCGAACAACACGAGGGTGAGTAATTAATTACAGAATTTGCATTTTTGGGTGAACTAACCCTTTAACTTGAGGATTCAGTATTATTTTTATTTAAATGTAATTATAAATGTAAACGTAATGAATTATCTTCATATACAATGATGATGATTAGCCATTCAGTCATATCCGACTCTTGAATCTTCCAGATATTAATTCCTCATGATCACTTCAGCATAAAGATTAAAAAGAAAGGGGGAGAGAATATACCCTTGTCTCACACCCCTTTCAATTCTAAACCATTCTGTGTCGCCGTACTGCGTTCGAACAACGGCTTCTTGATCTGTGTAAAGCGATCTTATCAACTGGGTCAGATGAGGTGATATTCCCAATTTTTGAAGTACCTTCCATAGCTTATCATGTTCCCCCCGAGGGACACAGGGCTTGCCGTGCCGGAGGAGCTTGAGTTTTTCAGTGAAGTCCAGAGCTATGCTGGCGGTAGCTATGTTACCAGAAGGGTCTCCCATGCCAGACAGGTCTGAACTGAGAAGCCAGACGAACATGTGTCCGCGACCCCAAACCATATAAATGGAGAGGGTTGGGGAAAGACCTGGCGACCTACCCCAGAAAACCATTGCCAAGAAAATTCATATACAATATATATTTGTAAAACATTTTATAGTTTTGAATGTCTATAAAGGGAAAAAAATTGGTATTTTTGGAGGGGGACAGTACCTCTGCATTACACAGACATAATCAAGACTAATGGAAATGCGTGAGCTATTATCCTGATGAAATTACACCACGGGTCAAAGTTCATGACGTGACCGATAGATGCAAAGTGTGGATTTCTACCAACATATTAAGCGTTCATGTGAGATTGCAATTGTTATCTAGGGACTGAAAAGCTGATCTTTTTTTTCTACTGTAAGGACTGTACCTTCTGTATATTTGTGTTGATGGATTTATGTTATCGTTACATATAATTAAACGGAAGCTTTTCTCTTCCGGGATTCATTATAAAAGCGCTGGCAGAATGAGTTTATTTAATTCTTTATATTTTGACACACATATGCTAATGTGACAGTCCAGTGCTTCAGAATCTCTGTTTCCTTCTATTTCAGCAAATTATTCATGTGTGATATAAATACACATCTACACAGATGGATGTCGACTCTTCCCGAGTGCCTTAGCAACTGGTGTCTCACAATACAAATTTCTCACAGTTTCTCGCCCACCACCAAAACTCTCGCCACCGCAGAGAGCGGGAAAATTCACCACAGCGATATTTGTTCAGCTAGATTTAGTTTGACTCCGATGGCACTCATAGAAAACGTCTTAACTGATATTCATCTGTGCCTAGAAAAATAATAACCATCAAATCTTTTAACAGAACATAATAGTTTGAAGATTTTGCTCAGATGTTTTAGTCTAGATAGTTAATGCGTATATAGAGACAGAAAGAGAGAATTTTAATATATATTATAGTTTAATTTTATATATTAATATAATTTTGTATTTTATTCTTTTATTGGTATGTATTGAAAATTGCATCAATGTTTTTTGTGTTTAATTCAGCTTTCAAATTAAATTTCATTTGTTAAAATACGTTTATTTTTTTATTTTAGAATAGAATAGAATAGAATATTGCTGTACCTTTTATTGTAGATGTCTAAATTTGGTCCATCAGTTCTTGTTTTCTTTTTAAATTCAGCTTTCAAATTTAACTTGTATTTTTTAAAACATTGATTCTATTTTATTTTGTTATTTTTTTATGTATTGAAAATGTAAACACTTTATACACGTTTTTTGGGATGAAATATTACTCCATAGGAAGGAGTGTGGAGGTGTTTGTAGCAATAGCCAACAATACATTATATGGGTCAAAATGATCAATTTTTCTTTTATGCCAAAAAACCATAATCAATGGAAAGCTTATTTATTCAGCTTTCAGGTGATGGATAAATCTCAATTTCAAAAACATTTACCCTTATGACTGGTCACACATATATTTTTTATTATTGGTATGTATTGAAAATAGCATCAGTTGTGTTGTACCTTCTGCAAGAGTGTTTTGTGTTTAGTCAAATAAATTTTTTATTTGTTAAAATATAGATTTAATCATTTTTTTGTCATTTTATTGAAAAAATATTTTTGTACAATAGATGTCTAAATTTGGTCCATCAGTTGTTTTTTTAAAGCGACATTCAAATTAAATTTGATTTATTAATTATTATTATCATTTTTTTATTGCATTAACTATTATTGTAGGTCAGAAATGTGTCCGAGGTTACACATCTAAATTTGGTAAATATTTTTAATGCTGCTTTTCAAATTATTATTCTTTTTTAATTAAACCTATTTCATATTTTGTGGATACAAAATAAATGTTCAAGGATGTTTGCTTTCTAAAACATTTATTTTTGTTATATGATTGATTGATTTGTATGCATTGACAATTGCACTATTGTTGTAGATACAAAAAGTTATCCAAGGTTGCATATCTAAATTTGGTCCATAATTTTTTTTTTAAATGTAAAGTGAACCAGGACTGCCACAATGGCTTCTCAAGGTCCAGGAAATGTTGCATCTTCATTGCGAATGAAGAGACGTGGAGACGTGCAATGTAGTATGTCAGAAAGATCTAGTGTGGACAAGGTAGTAGACGGAAGGATAAAAAAAAAAGCTGGTGTTACCTGAAGTTTACATCAGAGAAGAGGGGGAAGATCACAACCTCTGATACCCAACCAATCCAACAGATTGTCTTTCCCGTCTGTAACAGCACAGAGCTCAAATCCTTCCTGTAATTTAAGAGAGAAGATCAAACACATCAGCTCTCGTCTGTCTTTAAACCACCTCCTTTATTTAGTGAAAAGCTTCAACTTGTAATCTCCGGGTTCTGAGATTGATTTGAATGGAAATATAACATTTTACTAAAACATGTTATTAGATTTATATGATTGTGCAAAACCATGCAAAAATCTGAGATTCATCAAATATTTATATTATTATTTGTGTATGCGTCAGTTTGTAGATGTTTTGAACATGCCAGCCAAAAACTACATGAAAGACATTAGTTATTGCTGTCTGTAACCCTATAATAACTCTGGATGTTTCATGTAAAAGAAAATAATCACGTTACACTGCTGCCCTCGTGTGGTGAGGTAGTGTGTATGTGACTGCATATGATTCTTTTGTTTAATAAATAGATCAGGAAAAATGTACAAAAGCTGTCACTGGGATGGTACCCTTTCAAAAGGTACACATTTGCACCCCATTAACCCCTAAAGGGTGCATTTTAGTACCTTAAAGGTACGTATATTTTACCTAAAGTGTTCATATTCATACCTAAATTGTACATATTACTACCTTTTGAAAGTAAACAGCCGTCTGCTTTTGTACCTTTTTTTTCTTAGAGGATAGATGGTTTGATTGATAGTAAAAGGCTTTTTAATGTTAAAATGTGATGTCTGTTGTGCTCTATGCTTTGATCTAGCCTATGCAACTATAAAACAAATCAACTTTGAATAAAACAATAAAAGAAATGATGTAATTTAGTAACACAGTTGTATGGAAGTGTGTAGCAGGCTTTTAGGAGAGCACTATAATTTGATTAGTTACACATTGGTAAGAAAACTAAGTAGATGGAATATAACAGGGTGCAAATAAATAGTTAAAGCAAGCTCTTGTTCAGAGCGAGATTGACAAGATTGCTTTGATGAGGGAGTGAACATAAGGTTGTTTTGATCTTTTGTTGGAATTGCTATAGCCTATATGTGTGTGTGTGTGTGTGTGTGTGTGTGTGTGTGTGTGTGTGTGTGTATGTGTG